CCTGTTTAAACTGCAGAACATCCCAAAACACAGCCGGCCCGGGGCACGGGGTCGCAGACCTGGTCCACCCGGCCGCTTCGCGAAGGGTCGGGGAGGGGCCGTGCCGACGTCGGGGGGGGGTCCGGCTCTGCTGCCGGAGGGTGAGGGAGGGCTGCACTGCGGCGCGCTGGGGAGGGCAGGGAGGAGGAAACGGTTCTGAAAACAGTTTAGGGATAAGCCAGGACTTGGTGATGGTGAGAGTGGGGCTTGGGGCAGGGCGGGAACGAGGACTCCCGAGTTTCCTCCTGGACGTCTGCATGGATGGTGGGGTCACCGTGAGACGGTGCTCGCAGGAGGCAGGGCAGGAGCAGGGGTGAAATAATAGGTCTGTCTGAACATCTGTGCAGAGCTGGAAGAACCACTGAGCCATCAGGCAGAGGCAGCCGAGCTCAGTGGGACACATGCTTGGGGAGATGTGTGGAAACACGCGGCGGTAATTAGAATCTCATGGAGTGACCCAGAGAAGACGCAATTCAGAATCGTTGTCCCCCCAGCACGGGGACAAAGGCAGAGAACACTGGCCACGCTCCCCAGAAGCCCCCTAAAGAGGGGCCGTGGTACAGCTGAGGCAGGAGCTAGAAGCAGGAACGGGGCCTTGAGCTGCCCTGTGGTGCGCTCCTCTGCCTTCCCTGAGCTGACGAGGTCCCACGAAGCTGCTTGCTCCTCCTGGGCTCAGTTAGCACCCAACCTTTACAGCCCCCCGACTTCCCAAAGCTCTCACCATCCAAGTCCTCTTCCACTAACTCCAGGCAAACAACGTGGTCGAAATTCAAGCCCCACCGTAGAGCAACCAAACAGAGACGCGTAGTCGGCTTTCTCTTTTATTGAGTCACAGAGCTGGGAGAACGTGGTTTTGCATCTTCTGAAACTGGTGCTGTAAAGAGTCACAGAATCTTCCGGGCTTTCATGACATTCGGCAGATGTAGGACAATCACGTACACTTCTCCTCGTGCTGGGCTCCGTGTGTGTGTATTTTTACTCTCCTCCGGCTAATCTCTGACACGGTTGCAGAAGTCATTTATAAAATGCAGGTGTGACCCCTAGCAATAAACCACCAAATTCCAAACCAGAAGGAAAACCTAACAATGCACCTAGCCAGGAGTCACTAACGAGGTGGCTTTGTTTGAATGGGTAGTTCATATAAAACAATGGAATTACCAAAGGTTGTAAAGTCATTTTCTATGAAATAAATTCTTCTTGCTCGATGAACATAGATGGTAGCACAGCTTATGGGCTTTTTCTGTTTTTGTCTTTTGCACTTGTTACTCATTGAAAAGACCGAGCAGAAACCTGCTAGAAATGCAGGACTGAGGGCCCTGGCCCGACAGGGGAGGCAGCAGTGAAATGACAAGGTCTAGTGATAGAGCGTCCTTAGTGTCCTTGCTGTGTCTCTCTGAACAGCCCGGAGGGGGATGGGAGCCATCCCACCAGCCCCTAGGACATCGGGCTGGTCAGCATGGTCAGAGTCGAGTCTCAAGGTCTTACGAGAAGGAGAGAGATGGGGGAGTGACATGTGATATTTGTGGCCAGGTCTAAAAACGCCATCAATCTCTTCTGTGTGCATTCCATGGCTAGAAATTAATCAAGTGGTCAAACCCAGCTGCAAGGGAGGTTGGGAGATGAGGTTGGGAAATAGAGTCTCCAGCCGGGCAGCTCTGGGCCAGATACCCGCTTGCTTGAAGAAGGGAATCGCATCATGGAACATGAATCACGGCCCATGGTCTTCCCCCATCAAGCCAGTGATGGCTTCAGCCCAGGCGGGCACCATCTCAGGGCTCCTGGACCACTTATCAGCCAGGTGTCCTCTGCACGGAGATGAAACAGATTCAGAGGACTGAGGAGGGGGCACGTTTTGGGGGACACATGAAGTGAAAATTAGATAGCTCGTCTTCTGAGGTGGACTGTTTCTCACTCCCAGTGGAAGCTGAACCAGATCAAGTCACTTCACTCTCTAACTTCCATCTGTTTCCATTTGAAGAAGGAGGAGGCGGAGGGGAAGGGGGTCTCACCCAGCTGGTCTCACCCAATTGTGAATTAATGCCAGTATAAATGATTAGCATTTTAGCGGATTCAGTCTCCTTTTTACATAGTCAAGCAGCACAGTTGGAACATGGTCCCACGCAGGGGAGGCACAACGCTGTGCACTGCAAAGCACAGAACGGCCAATCTTCCGTTGAGACAAAGCACAGCTGGTTTATTTGCTGCCCTCCAGCTGAAAAGCTCTAATTCCAGTTGTAGAAAGCAGAAATGAAGCCTTAATTGGACCTCCTCTCCTTTATCTGTAACTTGTCTTCAGACCGTTAATCCTTAATCCTACAGTCTGGACCTTGGAGTTGTATCTCAAAGTCCTAAGAATGGGTTATCCAGTCACTGGATTACACGATGGATTAGTTCCTCCCTCGAATCTCTCATGAACTTCACAGCATAGTTTGAGGTCTGGCATCGGCTTCAAGTGCTCAGCCCTTTCCAGAAGGCAGTAACTAATCGAATGGGGCATCTGTCACTGCGTCCTTAATATAGTTCCCCGAGTGTGCTCAGAACCATCGGGTGTGGTTCCCGATTTAGCCTCGTGACAAGTTGTCACGAGATAAAAACAGCTAAACAGGAATTTGGAAACTGAACTCCTGTTCTGTGCTAAAAATACAGAACTAATCATTACAAAGCACTCCCAAAAAGGTGTTTGCTGTGAACTACATACAGGTCAGGACCGTCTTGTGGCCGTTCTTTCGTTTCACTGCCGCATCTCCCCCACTGCATGTCGTAAGTCAAGCCCCTCGCGCCTGCAAACCTGTGCTCTCCCCGCTTGGAGGTTTAGTTTAGAATTGATTGGAGGACTCTAGAGAGCTGAGTTTTAGAAAATGGTGATCGGGGACAAATATCTTAATACTGTTTCCCTACCTCTGAGTTCTCCTCTTTCTGCCAGTTAGTGAATGTGGAGACCTCTTCCCGGATGGAGAGATGCCTGTCTGCGGGTGAAAGCAAAGGGGGTGACCGACGCGCCAGGGATCACACAGTCGCCACCATCCCATTTCATCTATCTGACAGCTCTTTATAAAAACAGGTCAAAAATTTTGTACATAGTACTTAAAAATGTTGTCACAGTGGTATAATTGGCATACA